GAGTTGCGTACCGAACTCGAGCCAAAATTGGCTGCGACGCCTCAACGCGATAGCGCCGCACCTTCGATGGGCCTATCTTCAAGAAGTATGGAGTTACCCTAGTTAATTAGCGCCGAACAATTTACGCCTTTCTTTCGCGAGTTGTGGGTATCAAACTCGAACCCCCGTGATCTATGCTAGTGTGGTAGGTAATCGGAAACATTCTTCGCTATTTTTTGAATAATGGTTGCTTACTTTTAGCAATTTTTTTTTCTGTGTACCTCGACAATAAGTGTAGTATGCTATAGGAATCATATTTGTAAACGTTGTGGTAGTAATGGCAAAACTTTAGTACTTTTAGGTTTGCGGTCTCGAATTCCAGAATGATCCTTGCAAATTGCCCCACAAATGCGTTCCTATAGATTCTTCCGACAGCTTCGCAGGAGGACCAGTGTTTGTGGTGAGTGTCACGTTTGCTAACACTTGCAAAGATGGGACAAAATTTTACTTCTTCCAGCGCTTCGCGAAATAGATGCACTAATATAGAAATTAGTTGGAGATCGAAATCAATGGAAGCCGAATCGACTTCCACATAGGTAGAAATCATTTCATTTGCTAGATTTTTACTAATTTTTCTAATAGATAGATCTTATATCTTTCAATACAGAACTGAGTCAATGTCTTCGGTTACTATTGTGTTGAAAGAAAAATGAACATGGTCATTTATGTAAACGCCATTCATGTAACGAGACCCAAGAAGGATAGAAGAAGAGCATATATTGCACAGTAATGCGAGATATTATTAAGCTTACTAGTCCGCACAGCCCTTTCATTCGTGCACATTTTTACTTATTTATGAAACTAGTCTCTTCTCATTTTTCTTCCTACTGATATTGCAATATCTGTATAGCATTGTCATTGTTAAGGTGTCATCACTTCAGATGTAAGATACGGGGGCCGATATCGAGGTGATGTTAGTCTTATCGTATCTTTTGTTGTTAATATCATTTTTGTTCCTATTTTGATGTATAAAGAATTTGATTGAATTTCTTCGCTATGATTGTTTTGTAATATCAGATATAGTACTGTAGAAGTTGAGAGCTTCTGCTGTTTGCTTTCTTTCACTACTCATGTCATCTTTGGATTGCTTGTGTATGTTGCGTATACAGAATTCTAACATATTTGAGTTTT